GCAGGTAAATTAATTGATGAGTTATGATTAAAAACGTAATCTATGGCTGCATATTAGACCGAGGTTAGGGACGTATACCCTAATTCTGTTTTCGTTCGCATCCACCAAATTAAATTCGTTATTTCTTAGGTTGAACCAGGTAGCACAAACAAACATTCCTTTCATTGTCGCATTCTCCGGTGCTTTGACAGGAGCGTGATCCAGGATATAGTTCATTGCCCTGCCAACACCTCGGCAGTATTGAAATCCGACTACATTTCCAATCACGAACCGATCGTTGCATGTGAATTGACACCAATCACCAACGTAGATTTCCTCGTAGGTCCCGGGAGATGTATGTTTATAGGGTCTATTCTGAAGTCATAACAGCGGTAGCGATACAATTCATCAGAGCTGACATTATCCCAGAGCTGCCAGGTGGTTTTATAAAAAATCTGTATCCACTCTATTAAAAAATCTGTATTTTCTGTATTGACGATTTTTTTCTTAATTAATCATGTTTTGTTGTTTTACAAATACAGTGCATACAAAATAACCATAAAAAGTGCTTAACCACCTATTTGGGCTATCGTACTAACCATACGGGATATAATTGCGCCATTTGTGATATCGTCCGTACTTATTTATAAGAGTGATATGAAGCCGTTTGAAAATGTATGGAGATTTTAGTTTCTATTCATTATCTTCCTGATAAGCAGTTTTAAATGCAAAAAAGTGCACGAGTTCATTACTATTTGATATTTTTAATATAGATGAATACAATTAATTACATCATTTGTGTGGTAGTTACACCGAAAAGTCGAGAGATGTCGCCCCGCCAGTGCTGGTAAAATCATTTTTGCAGTATGGAGAATATCAGAAAATCCGCAATTTCTTACGAAATACATTTTCAATGCGAAACTACCGTGAAGGGCGTGACTGCGTTTTCCGTTGGAGGGAGTGAGGGAAGCATAAAAGAAACAGCAACGCCTCGAGCAGATCCCACTGCAAAAAATATGGTTTTTGGCACTACAATTAATTTTGGAGAGAAGGGGGTACGCTGATAAAATCGAGCAAATTATTTTGTTTTTATAAATTTTGAATTTTTTTTTCTCAAGCATTTTATAAAAATCTGTATAAATCTGTATTGTAATTTAAAAATCTGTGATAAATCTGTATTCTGTATCGGGTCTGTATTAAGATTAAAAAATCTGTATAATACAGATAAATCTGTACTGAACTAAAACATCCGCAATACTTCGAATGATTATTGCATTGCCCGAGCCCTTTAACAATATGCATTCGAATTTCGGATGATTTTTTTATGGTTGAATTCGTCGTCAGATGATGAACATCCATATGACTGTCATCCAAATACAGGATGATTTTCGTTTGAAAATTAGCTTTAAAACATACGGTACTCAGAGGACAAACATTAAAGAATAGTGTGACATGCAAGTGTTTTTAATTAGATTTATAATTTGATTATCTACATTTCCATACTGAATAGCCATAATAAGCCATTCCATTATGGATTCAAAATTATTCGTGGTGGAGAAAACCTCATCCACCACAAATTAGCCAAACATTGGTTTTCATCCTTTACCTTTGTTCGTAACAGCTCTGATAGTGATGCATATGCTTCCACCTCGTTTGTCAGCTCAGATCAGCAAATGACGTTCGATAGAATTATTTACATAATCGTTTTGAATGATTTGCGTTCTGGGGCTGAACCAATACCATATGCATTTCCATTTAGTATGACAGTCATTCTGCAGAGAGCATTACGCATTTCAACTGAAGGCCCTATCCCTTCTCATAACAAGTTTCATCCAGTATTCGAGAGGAAAATCATCTGATTTCAAAACAACTGTCATCCGCTTGCAGCTATCATTCGAAAAAGCAATTTCAGTCTTTTGTTTTTAATGGTCTGAGGTTTCATTCGATCAGAGGATGATGTTTGTGTACAGTGTGTATAAATGGCAGCGCTGCATTATCCTTAACGTAGCAAAAGGGCCTGTGAAATTTTTGTTTCGCGGGTCAATAACGAAAGAGTCTAACGGTACGCTGGGGGAAATTTAAGTATATTTCTCATTGTACATTAATGGAGTTAATGTACTTAAATTTATGCGACTTGTAATTAAAGCGGAAATTTGTACTTAAAAGTAATTAAATCAAAAAATTTCCGACGCTCGTAATTAAAGTAATTAATCATGTAGTTAACTGTTATTATTGTACTTAAAAAAGGCTTGCGTAGGAGTTAAAGGTTATTGCGTGCACTCGGTGGCCACCTAGCTCACCTGAATTAAATCCTCTGGATTTCAGGGTATGGGCGAACATTGAAGCACTGGTTTGTTAACATCCTCACCCGAATTTGAACTCTCTGTGGACCTCCATAACAAAGCATTGGAGAGAAATGTAATGTGATTATATTGTCAAGGTCTGCAAGAGCTTCAGGGCCCCGTAACGTGGGTAGATCACCTTTTCGTGGTACGTTACTGGATGTAAGATCTACCACCGATTTCTAGTCCTGACTACTTCAAACTAAGGGAACAGGATGTTTCAGTAATCAAAGGAACACATCTTAGTCCTTTTTACTTTTTATGCCTTGTTGCTTACATGCTTACTATTTTTAATAATAACTTCTGTTCAGGCTTTGTTCACACAAATCTGGAGAATTTATTCAACCACAACATTGAACTACTTGATGCTGTATAAGGTATGTCGAGAAGCTTTTATTCGACTTATATGAGTTGTAACAGAGTTTATACGATATTTTTTTTTGATTATTCAGCGTTTATATTACATCACTACTTTCTTAAAACAGTGATGCTCTGTAAATACTTATACATGTCGTTGCACGGGATTCTCGAACCATGTACCTTCCGATCACCAGCCGCTTGCCTTGTCATCTGAGCTATCCTTGAATTCATCATATGGACAACTCATTAATCAATAAAAGCTTGCTTGAAAGTAAATACCTATCAGCACTCCCGATCGCAACTCTAGCTCCTTCAAGGCCCTGTGGGAATGATTTATTCATTCATCGTTATTTAAATGAGACTAATGTTACCTCTTCACCTGTCCAAGACGAAAGAAAGGATGCTCGGTTAAATTTTATAAATTAGATCAATGCATTCATTGTCCTGAGTCAAGTGATCGATAATAACTATTTATATTAATTAGACGTAGAACACAAATAAAAAAGGGTTGAGCTTGAGATTGAACTCACGACCTTCTACTTGGAAAGCGAAAACGGTAAACACTACTCTACTGATTTCGTCTTGTTGTCGAATAATGAATTTAATACGTCGTTTATAAAGCATTTACAAATCATGTGATTACAACACGGACGCAAAGTGGTATAAAAGCTATTATGCTGACTGTATTCACCTTTATTCAGCAATATTGTAAAGCAATGCTAATGGAGCTATAGAACATTTATTAGACGTCTAATAAAGCATGTTATTAAATCAACTGAAAACAGTCGAATTAAAGTGTCAATGTATGTACAAATTACACTTATTCAGTTTGTTATTAGATCAAACTTCTGGCGTTGAATTGGGAAAACATTTAACGCTTTTACAGCTTTTAATAAGTAAATTAATCAGATTAGAGCAAACAGTGGAATAAATGTGCATCTATCGATCTCAATGAGCTTTTTCAGCACATAATTCGACAACTCGTTTTATTCAGCATTGTACACTGTTATATCATAGAGGTAACTCTAAGACCACTGGGTCCCGAAGAAAATCATTATTATTTTTGGCTCACTCAGTACCAGAACAACGGTCCCAAGCAGTCCCAAGCTATTTCACTCACCCCTGCATGTTCTGCATGAATCCACACACCCCTGATGTTATCTGTCAAACTTTCATAGCGAATCAAAACAAACATAGTGTAGTAATAGAATTTCAACTAGAATAGGGTACGTTAATCGTTTGCTTGGGACCAATAGGCTTCTAAAGTGGTGAGCCAATTTAAAATCGTTAGTTTCGTATTGATTGTTGGTTATATCATAGAGGTAACTCTAAGACTAGTAGGTCCCGAAGAAACGTGCTCAACTTTTTGGCTCAGCTCTGGTACTATCTTCGGTCCCAAGCTAATCGATTCACCCCTCGAAACACAGGAAAATCCAATAACCCCTCATTTTATCTGTCAAACTTTCATAGCGAATCAAAACAAACATAGTGTAGTACTGGAATTTATACTAGAATGGGGTACGTTAGTCGATTTGCATGGGACCAATAGGCTAGTCAAGTAGTGAGCCAATTTTAAATCGTTATTTTCGTATTGATTGTTGGTTATATAGCATTTATTCAATATATATGCTTATTTGTGACTCTGAATTGTTTGTTTGGTATCCCCATGTTCTTCCTAAGCACTTCCAAGCTCGCGACAACAGTCGTATGAGTCCTATTATCGTTTGTTTGAATGATGATATTGTATATTATCACCCATATTCTCGTTCTCGTTCGTACCGTATTTTCCATACAAAAATATGTATGGAAAATACGAGTCGAACGAAAACAAGAATATGGGTATATGTTGTAATTTTTTAATTTTGTGCGCATCATTTTGCTACACGGATATAAATCCCCTTTTAACTTTTGGCAAATTTCTATTGCTTCTTATTCATAAAATATATAAGTCAACTAATAAGCAGACGCTTTGCAAAAAGTTAATGGAGATCATGTGTGTCAAATGAAATGTTTAAATGGCCACACATACCGCTTATGCATTCTTATACGACCTATGTGTTTTGCCTAACGGAATGTATAAGGCTGATGTTTTGGCAAGATGTATAAGTGAAACACATGGATAAAATAATTAACTTTCTTTTCGTACAGCCACCAGAGAGCATTTTTTTTAGGTATAATATTTACCGTTTCGAGATACCAAACCGGTACTAGAAACCCAAGCATTTGTTTGCAGCAAAAACACCCACACCAAACGAACAGCTGACTTTGACAAGTGGGCATTTGTTTTGGAAGAAGTAGTTGTTTGTCGTGTTCTCGTATTTCGTCGCTAGTCGCAAATTTGGAAAAGAGTGAGTGCTGCTATTGAAATTGACTGTTTCATTCGACCAAGTAATTAAAAAGCTTTGTGTTGTCGTCACATTTGTGCAAACAGTGATACAAATCGTCCAGCCACTTCAAAGTGAAGTCCAGTGATCTCGTCTATCGGACCCACCACCAGAAAGGTAAATGGCAAACTTTTTGCTTTCTTTGTTCTCCCGTAAACGCGACGGTAGCTGGAAACTTGAATTCCCCATAAATGGAAGGTGGTTCTCCAGCTTCTGAGAAAAGAAACGATTCTCATGACACTGCTGCTCAGCTCCTCAATTGCGTCGTTTTCAGGGTCGTTCTTTGTTTACATACTAGGGTATGTTTACCAGTTATCGCCATACGTTCCGTGGTCTGTTCCAATTATGACCTATGGAATTCCCATAGCCCATAACTGGAACACATCACAATAGAAACGTATAGCCATGACTGGTACATCTACCCTAATGAATGTAGATATTGTCTGTATGGCGACCAGCGTCCTCTATTCCCTAAAAAGAAAGTAGCAAATTAAATAAATTTTATCGATTTTCTTCAGCAAACGTAATTTCCGGATGGCGGGGAACTGAACCTTGGTAACTCCAACAGAAGCATATGAGTTCAGCCACACAGTGCAATGGTATGGAACAGTAGTAAAAGGATATTTTGCGTGATTCGCATTCCTTTGTTGTCTGGAGTCGTCTGCTTAAAATGCAATTGCACTCAACTGGTTTCACTACATAATGAAATTAATAAGTAGTTCTACACACAACCTTTGCGAACGCACACTGTTTCACTGGGTATTTATTTGTCGTGCATCGCAAAAATGTTGAATTTGAATTTCAGCAAAGCTTGTAGGTAGCTGTAAATAGAATAAATTGAATTTGGAAATCATCACAGGAAGGGCAGAGCAGATCCCAGTATCAAACACACTTATGAGATAGCATTTCATATTAAAAACTTAGCATAAACATTGTTCGCACGAATCTTTTTTTTTAAGTTCCTATTTATTTATATATTTTTTATTCATCACAGTCTTCTGAGGAAACCAATTTTAGCTGCAGAACAGCCAACTTTTGTGTGTTTTGTTGGGGGAGTTAAATTACTGCGTCCATTGCTCAAGTTACTACAATTAATAAGTGAAGTAAAAAGAGAAAATGCAAAAGGGAAGAAAGAAAATAAATAAAATTTTCAATTTTTCCTCCGGGATTTCCAAAATGAAATAAATTGAATGCATCATTTTGCGCAGTAACAAACTACAGTCTACCAGCATTTGTGCGCAACTCTATCTCGTAGTTGTATTTATTTTTAGAACACTATTATGCTTATGCGCTGTTGTGAAGTGCTACGAATTTTCTCTCACGCGGTTATTTACTACGACCTAGTTTCCTGTCAGGAATGCTATTCCGTGAAGACCTTGAAAACTGTACCGATTTGAAATATCCAACTAAAAAGAGGAAAATACTAAAAATGATAGCACATGTCTTCTTCTTCTTCTTCGCTTTTCAAGCTTATTTCTTATCGTATATAAGCTAATTGCGTGCTCGCAACTTAGTGTTCTAGATGCACTTCCACAGTTATTAATTGAGTGCTTTCGATGCCTTTACCATTTTTGCATTAGTATTATTGTGTGGCAAGTACAATCATACTCTGCCCAGGGAATTCGGGATAGTTTCCAGCCCGAAAAATTCCTAGACCGGACCGGGAATCGAAACCCGCCACCTCCAGCATAGTCTTGCTTTGTAGCTGCGCCTTCACCTGAGCTAAGGGAGGTTCCATGTAGAGTCGGTGTATAATGAGTCACGCCAAGAGAAAAACAGTTGAACTCGCATCACGGTTTCCGAAGGATTCCCTTTCTTTTCACTTGGCAACAAAGGACTTCTACATCAACTTTAAATGACTTCTAGCGAGAACCAAAAATAACGGCTGTAGTGAATCATAATATCAGTGATTTTGTCAAATTATCTTATCAAAAAATAGTAGAAATTCTCATTACTGATCAAAACCAAACGAATGCCATGACCATTTAATGCTCGCTGCGTGTTTATGATGATTTCTTCAATTTTATTTTATATTTCATTGCAATACCTTTCGTGGACCTTTCATAGCATCGTAATGTTTATTTACTTTGCACGATAGGTAGCCGATTTGACAGTTCAATAGGTAGACTTGGCTTCACTCTTGGCGTGACTCATTATACACCGACTCTAGTTCCATGTATGTAAGACGTAAAACATTATTCCATAAATAATGCTCACATTAACATGTGTTCATCAAATTGATAGCCAGTTTTCTTTACCTTCCACTGATTGCTTTGCTGGAAGGGTAAGGGTATGTAATTTTTATTAGACCACAGAGTCATCTTCGTTTGAATTTCTTTCTTCAGCAACATCTTGATTTGATTTGTGATTGTAAAGTTGCACGGTTTTATGTAAATAAATGTAGCGCAAAGAAAGAGCAAGCCAGCTAACTACCTTGCTTGCGTCTAGTGTGTGTATATGTAGCAAATAACTATTCTTTTCGTTGCTCTCACATATGTTCGATACGATACGACACAGATTCGAAAACAGATGACAATCTGCTCAACTTTGTACTTTTCATTTTTTTCTGTCTCACATTTAGAAAAGGTCGGTAAGATGTTTACCGATTTTTTTTTTACAGAACCTGTTATTAGGTTCTGCAGCGTGACGTCACGAATGAACTCAGTGTTAATCGGCTGAACCTTTTTGACAGTTCAGTGGTACTGTTTACAAGCACTTAGTCGTTTTTTCGAAAAAAAAAATCTAAAATTTCCGAATTTTAACTTGAAAATTGTCGAGGAACAGCGCGGTGAAAGGATGTTGCTCGTGGACAATGCAGAAGTGTGGTTTACATCTCACTGCAGTCTGAAAAATAATCGAGAAAATCTACCCAAGAAAAAAACGACTAAGTCCACGTAAACAGTACCACTGAACTGTCATCAGATTGAGGTTAACCCCGACGGTGCAAAACCTAATTAGGTTCTGCAGCGTGACGTCACGAATGAACTCAGTGTTAATCGGCTGAACCTTTTTGACAGTTCAGTGGTACTGTTTACAAGCACTTAGTCGTTTTTTCGAAAAAACAAATTCTAAAATTTCCGAATTTTAACTTGAAAATTCAGTGCCAACATTTCAAAGGGGCATAATTGCTTTTGTAAACAATGACTGTAGCCATCAATTTCTCGCGAATGAAATCTTACCTCTTCAAAATAACAATGCTAGCTGGTAGAGGAAACATTCCTCTACCTAATGGTGTCATTATTTTTCATGAGTGAGCTTTTATTCGCGAGAAATCGATGGCTAATGCCATTGTTTACAAATGCAATTACGCCCCTTTGTAATGTTGGCACTGAATTGTCGAGGAACAGCGCGGTGAAAGGATGTTGCTCGTGGACAATGCAGAAGTGTGGTTTACATCTCACTGCAGTCTGAAAAATTATCGAGAAAATCTACCCAAGAAAAAATCGACTAAGTCCACGTAAACAGTAACACTGAACTGTCATCAGATTGAGGTTAACCCCGACGGTGCAAAACCTAATTTCTTTTTTATCCACAATGTCTTCGAAAGAATTCTAGCGTTCAGAATCATAAGGACCGAACAGCGATGATCGATTCGAGGATCGATTCTCTTCATGGATTTTCTCTTTTGTTAATAGCTCGGCTGGATTAACATTTCTCGTTGCGTTTGATGTTGCTTTTGCTAGCTATGAAAACCTATCACTACAGTATACGAAATTATGGAATAATTTCGGAAAATTTATTCACTTAACTGTGGTAATGCGAAGAGAAAATCGATGAAGAGAATTGATCATCGCAGCTAGGCCCTTATAGCCGGCGCCGGTGGTTTAGTGGTAAGCGTGACTGCTTTCTAACACCCCAATGGGTCTAGGTTCAATCCCGATCGAGGTCGGTGGGAGGCATAAAAATCTCTGGTCACGTCTTCCTTCGGAAGGGAAGTAAAGCCGTTGGTCCCGGCCCATGTGTGTTGAATGGGTGCGATATCATACGCAGGTGTGGAAGCTGCCTTCCTGCACATTCGATTGCCGTCAATGGATGGCAATCGATGTCCGACGGTGATTGGCACTAGATTGCAGAACAGAGACCGACGTTAAATAAAGGAAAGAAAAAAGAAGCTAGGCCCTTATGATTCCAAACGTTCTTATGATTATCTGAAAGTGCAAAATGTTGTCATGTCGATGATAAAAAATGAATAACTAATTTCCAAGATTTCTGAAGAACTCATGTCTTGAAATTCCATAGGTTCTTTCAGAGTTATTAAGAGTTTTCTGTAGCATTTCACTTAACCTCAAAGCGTTATTCGTAACTTTTGATTATATGACAATTTCTGGAAAATCATTACACGAAAGACCATTTGCCGGAATGGACTATTTCCCAGATTTTTGCTTTCGTTGATGCAAACAAATAAATTTAACGATTTTCCTAGCGTTAAACCCGGAAATAATATATAGTAAAACCTAACCTAGACTCGAATCGAATTTCTTGATTTTAATCCATATCATTTTGCATTACAATGTTTTTCAAATCAACAATTAAAAACGAATTTCAGACTTTGTTCGCTAGGGTCAACAAATCAAATTTATGCCTGAAGTTGGGCATTGTGAATCGAGCTTAATTTTTCAAAATGGCGTTTTCGATATTTTTCAATAAATTATAGAACGAAAACGGCTCTTATAATCGAAATGACGTCTGAGACAAAGTTGTTCACGACGAATGAGACCTACTCAAATTTGAGTTTAGTTAACTCATAAATCACATAAAATGCAGGAACTAAGCGATGAGTAAATTTGCCTCATGTTCAGGGCTGGTAGCAGGTCACTTTTTAGTGACTTGGTCACTTTTTTGAAGCCAGTCACTAAAAAGTCACTTTTAACACCTAAAAGTCACTAAAGTCACTATTTCCCTAAAACTAGTCACTAAAGTTACTTTTTCGCAAAATGTTTAAATTGAGTACTTGGCACTAAGAAAGTCTACAGTAGTTTTAACAAAATATACATATCTGTTAAAAAATTGAAAATTTTAACCAGGGTGACCAGTGAACCGTAAAACGTTAGAACACCAGGAAAACTATTGGGAAGTGCCTTCAATTTCGATTTAAAAGAGAATTTTAAAGGATTCCA